AGAAACATCTAAATGGGTTTCTTTCATAATTTATTGCTTTTCACCTGCAATAAGGTTCAAAAGTATGGTAATAAAACCATAAAATTAAAAGAAAGTAGATGTGAAAAGATAAGAAACTGAGACTGGTAGTTATGATTGTCTGTTACTTTTATGGTAATAAATAAAAAATATACATGAAAAACAAAAATATAGCACTTTTGAATATACATGAAAAACAAGATATATAGCACTCTTGGCCATCCAATACATTTAATCCTACGTTTTATTTTTTTAAATATTAATGGTACTAATACACTAAATAATATTTACTTGAATAATGCACCTAAATACACAGAATAATAACACACATAAAGCAAACAATGCTCTATAATGATCATAATTTATCTAGCTTTCTAACTATGGCACAAGAGCCTTTAAAAATTCAACTAAGCTTGTCAATAAACACACCGTGAGAGAAACTTTCAAACTGAAGACAAAATAGATAATACTCTGTAGACATACAATATAATATATCATTTGATAGATTAAAACTTTGGCTTTCTATTGGTTATAAATAATGTAGTATAAAACGTCAGAGAGAGAACTACTGGCACTTTGTGAAAGAGAGTATGTGACAGGTGGGCATGGCAAGTGGGTCTAATTTTATAGTTTGTAACTCTGTAAACAAATAAGAATGAAGGCTATAAACTTATGCTTTTCCTTAGTGATATCTATATTATAATGAATAACTTACATCAAATTCCACACTTCTCAGAGGGATAATAAATATATTACAGAGGAGGGGTGACCTAGAGAACAAATGTCACAATTTTTCATTCGCATGAATTCAAGTTTGAATAAAAGCATTTAAGTGGAATAATAATGCTATAAAGTCTTACAATGGTTAATTTCCATAAGTTTGTGACATTGACTCAGTGGCTAAAAACCATACAAAAATCCCTACATAAGATGTATTCATCCCTACCTTGGTTCTTGTACTTTTTGGCATTGCCATCTCTACATCATACTTAATTTTTGCATATACAAAAAAAGTTTTTTATTACCTGTTTAATATAGTATCAGAAATTTCTATTATTGAGGATTTTATTTAAGTATTATAAATTCGTATTACAATATACTTGCATATAAAATTACGTTAAACCCAATTGAACAATTATGATAACTACTAAGCATGGGTCCGAAACAAAGGAGGTCTCCAAACCCACAATATATTTTTGAAATCACAACCATTATCAACAACCAAATTCATAACAAAACTTGCCTATGTGAAAATCAGTATCTTGAAGCCGATAAAAACAAATATTAAACAGCTACTAAAAAAAGGAAATGTATCGCACTAGGCCCGCGTATTCTCGAATAAGGACCTTGATTGAATGTTCCACCAAAAAGGATAACGAAAAAATATAAAATGATTTAACCAAAACAGTGAAACTTAATCACAATATAAAACAAGTTAAAAACTATAAATATTATAGATTGATTGATATAACATTCGATTAAAAACATTTTTTTTGTGATTTGATTTGTATTGAATATCGCGCAAAGCTACACGAAGGATATATGTGCTAGTTGTCCCTAAATTAGCAATTGTTACGTCTCTGTTCGTTTGTTAATTTTCCGTAGAAGTTCTTTCCCAGAAACTTCAGCGATACAAGTCCTTTCTAAAATAAAACTAGTTTATTCTTTCTCAATTCAACTAGCAAATACTGGATTATTCGTGTTGTTCCCGATCTTTCTAGAATTCATTACGTGTTACCAGAGTCACGTGACTTCCGCTGTCGTAACACAATGATAGGAAAGCAGCTAGTCACCACCACCCACCGCTAACTCTTGGACTACTCCTTCGCCAACAAATAGTGGTATTGGCCGTCACATTATAACGCCCCCATGGCTAAAAATGGTGAGCATGTTTAGTGACGGGATTCGTATACGTGACCCTCAGATTGCAAGTCAAGCGCCTTTACCACCAGGCCATGCCAGGCCCCATTTTTTTGTGGAGTCATGAAATAGACACTCATGCAAGAATGGGAACAGAGAACACAGACTGATTTTCTGAGCTCCCTTGAGATATGGGCGCAGTGGGCCCAATGGATAATCTGCCCGTGGGGACATTGATAATCTTAAGAGCTTATGACGCCAAAATCTGTGGTTTTATTTCCCAGAGTGGACACTGCTAAGGTAGTCCATTGTGTACCTTTGCGCTTACTAATAACCAAGCAATCAAACCTTATAATTTTGAACTAATTTGAAATATTTTTGCATAGAAAACACAATATTCTAAAAAGATAAGAAAAAAAAGGTAATAAAATACTGTAGTAAAGAGTTATTTCTTTCTTCAACCGTAATATATAAATTGTACAGGCAACGTTCGTTCGTTCATAGGCCTAACTCACAAATAAAACTTACCAGTCAGTTGTTTGGTGAATTTCCTCTCGTACCTACGGCACAAACTCAACAAAAAATATACAGCACTCAACCGAGTAGCTAAATACTTGAAGCTTAAGAAAAGTCATTCTTAACTTGATGATGTCCTAAGGAAGTCGAAACGTTGCTATTTATTTCGTGTTTTAAATAAAAGTTTTTAATACTCTTATCAGCCGTCTCTACTATATATATATGATGACTAACTAACTAGTTAACCAACTCTCTGTCTGACAAATTCATTCACCCGCTCTGGTGTTTATATACATAACTTGTTTCCCTATACCCACTGTCACGTCAGATCTAGATGTCCGTTACTACGTCGTGCCAAACTCCCTTTGTCAAACAAAACATCTAACGTAAAGTAATAATACATAGCTTAAAACAGTACTATTAGGCACACCGATAGCTTTCATCCCTTCACCAAGAAATCATTAAGATAAAACGAAATTTAGCTTTCACATCCATTTACTTATTCAATACACTTTTAAGTAAATTGAAACTAACAACACACGTTTATAAAGTGACCAGAAGAATAATGTTGCTTAAAAACAAGCTTGGATAAGGCTTTTAAAGCGGATACTATCTGTCCCTTATATTCTAGCTTCTGTTATTAGCCTTTTAATTGTCCATTCTTGTCTTTTAATGTATGGGGAAAATACTGATGTAAAAGATATCATTTTAAATTCTGAAATTGTCAGAGAAAAGTTGGGAAACCTAAAAATTGCTAATTCCCCTGGACCAGACAATTTTTATCATAGAGTTTTAAAGAAACTATAAAGAGTTTATTTGTGAACCGCTAGCTAATATTTTTTATAGATCATTGCGTAGTGGAAGAGTTTTGGAAGTTGGCTAATGTTAGTCCAATATTTAAAGGAGGAGATAAACTTTGTCCAGGCAATTATAGGCCAGTTAGTCTTACATCATTAGTTGGAAAGGTTTTGGAGTGTGGTTAAAGATGCATTGCAGAGTCACTTAAAGCAGTTTCATATAATGTCAAAGAGCCAGCATGGTTTCACTAAGGGAAAGTCTTGTTTAACAAATCTTCTGACATTTTTTGAGGATGTTACAGCAAGAGTTTACCTTGATTTTCAGAAAGCATTTGATAAGGTGTATCACAAAATATTTGTTACAAAAATGAAATATGTGGGTGTGAGGCAAATGTTATAAAATTGGCTGAAAAGTAGAAAGGAGAGAGTATTAATAAATGGAGGTAGATCTTTCTGGATTACAGTTACAAGCGGTATGCCTCAGGGCTCTGTGCTGGATCCTCTGCTGTTTGTGATTTATATTAATGATATTGACTGTAGAATGACTAACAAAATTTTGAAATTTGCAGATAACATTAAAATCTTTGGGGTGGCTAGCTGTATCAAAGATGCTGCAGACTTACAAAGAGATTTAGATCATCATGTAATGCATTGGGCCAATACGTGGTAGTTTATGTTTAACTATCCAAAAAGTAAGGTGATGCATTTAGGTTTTTACAATTCAAATTATTCTTACAATTTAAATGGAAATACCTTAAATATTGTGGCTTAGGGAAAAGATCTTGGTGTTGTGATTGAAAAATCACTTAAGTCATCTAAACAGTGTATTGTAGCTAGCAATAGGGCTAATAATATTTTTGGTAGCATCCATAGAATATTGAATACAAGACAAGGGATATTATTATTTCACTATATAAACCACTTGTAAGACCTCAGTTAGAGTACTGTGTACAATTTTGGGTTCCCTTACTCGAGAAAGACATTGATTTGTCAGAGAAGATTCAGAGAAAGGCCACTAGGGTGATACCTGGGATGGTGGGATTGTCCTATAAGGAGATATTAAAATATCCAAACTTGTTTTTTCTGGAGAGGAGAAGGGTCAGAGGGGATTTGATTTAGGTGTTTAAGATTATTAAGGATATTGATAATATAGACCCATCAAACTTTCTTGTGTTTAGCAGTGAAAACAATAGGACAGGGGTCATAAATTCAAATTTTGGCACCGTAGGAGTCGTCTGTAGTTTAGACAGTATTACTTCGCAAACAGGGTGGTTGGCTTTTGAATGAGCTGCCTTCAAGGGTGGTTGAGGCAAAAAATTAACTGAGTTCGAGAAAAGATTGGATGAATACATAAGTAGTAAGGAGTTATAGTTGGGAGCTGGAAGGGACATCCTTGATAGGCTAATAAGCTCTTTTTTGTCCCTTTAAAATTTTATGAACTTATAATTTCGAACACCTAAAATTAGGTTTAAATTTCTAATTCGTAAAAGGTTCTTAAACTCAACTTTCTTTTCTTCCACTTCAGCTAAGCACTCTAAAAACACCTAATAACAAATGTTGTGCAAAAATATTGTTGTTTGTTTTAATTATACACAAAGCTACACAAGGGCTATCTGTGCTCTGCCCACCACGAGTATCGAAACCCGGTTTCTAGCGTTGTAAGTCCGCAGACATACCGCTGTGCCACTGGGGGGCATGTTGTGCAAAGTTTCCATTTAGGATAACAATTTGCGTTAAAACATACACACATATATAAAATAGTGTCTGTTTTTGTTTTTTTATGTAACGTAAGTACTCGGCAGAGGGATATACAGATGTCACACACACACAAATGTGTAAAATCTTTGTTTTCATACAGAAAACGGCCGAACTTTAAATGTTATAACTTAGTCAGATTGAGTCTTGCATAGATACAACCAAATCATACTATACAAAAATAAACGGATGTTAAAGTAAATATCATTGTAACATGTGATATAAAAATACAAGAAAAATATACAACCAACCATTATCTGAAGCTGACGAAGTACTTGCGAAACTGCATTACGGGAACTTACAAGTTACACAACAGAGCAGTTCAGAGCATATAATGGCGTCTGGTTCACGGTGAGAAATATACTTAATATTAATATTTTGTTGAAGTTATGATAACTGATGTGATAATAAAACACCTTTCTTGTACTAGGCAACTTTTACGTATTTACTATTACTTGGTTAAGCAGAAAGGTGACATTTGAGAATAGCACAGTGATCGTAATGTATATCATTAGTATTAGTGTACGTACTAAGTAGACCTACTTGCCTCAAATTTAAACGAGCTAGAAATTTTGAATTTGACAGGTTCATTCATTCAGTGTCAGATACTATTTTTCACTCTTAGCGCTGTACATAAAAATCTTAGAAATATCCTGGAATATCAACTAGTAATCTTGAAATAATTATGGAACTTTGAAACTACTATAGTTTCTGTTTTAGTGTTTATTCAAAACACTTTTTAAACCAATAAATAAATTTGAGCATTTTCTCTTTTACCCTTACTACTAGTACTAGTACGACTAATAAAGCCCATTTTTATAATCAAATATGAAGAAGATGAATTAAAACGGATGAAAATACCTAGTTAAGCCATTAGTCCCACATCAGCTATTTTTTGTTCAAATTGTGTATTCATATGACATTCTTTGTGCAGAAAACCAAGTTTCACTTTGCATAAATAAAGAAAAAACAGCTTTAGGAAAAATAAAAATAAAAACATACTCTAAAGAATTTCAAAGTAGCATACACAGAAAAAGCTAGTGATTAAATTTTAGTACTTGTTGCAGCTGTGCAAAACATCAACTTTTACTCCCCAGTAAAGCAGATTTTAATTGCACCCAAATCATGTTTATTCATAAAGAAAAACGACATATGAGAGACATGGGGTTACAAGTAAAAAAATGTATTAGATTTTCAAAACTAGAGGATGTCTGTGCAGTCAATGTCAGTGGAGATTACTTTCCTATGTTTGAATATTAATAAATGTAATTGTAACTGGTAACTAGCTGAAGAAATTGGTCCTTCAAAACTGTCCATGTACAACCACCCTGAGTAAAAAATAAAAATTAAATCCAGCCATTATTTGACCCCCCCTCATTAAGTTGTGTAAGTTGCTGGCTTCCACTACACTATTGCTATTGTCAAATCATTCCATAAGCTAATTACTCTGTTGGAAAAATATAACTGTCTTAACTGGAGCCTAGTATATCTTTTCTGATCCTTAAGTGTGTTTCCTCATGTCCTATTATCTTCAGAATTCAGCACAAAGAAATCAGGGGGTCTTCATCCTGTCATTGCCACCAATCACCTGAATAAGCTTGTAAAATTCATACCACTTCTTGCTTGTCTTTTCTCAAGAGGAAAATATTATGAAATTGTAACTTATACCTGCAAGATAACTATTCCATCTCTGGAATCATCATACTAGTCCTCTTCTTAACTATTTCCAGTAAGTCAGTAAGGAGACCAAAACTATACACAATATTCCAAGTGAGGCCTAACAAGCAATTTATAAAGAGAGATAATTTCTTCTTTCAACTTGTAATCAGCATAACTGTGAATACATCCAAAATTCTGTTAGCTTTTCTACTGGCAATAGCATACTACTTCATTGGCTTGAGTGAAGTATTCACCACTATATCAAGGTATTTTTCTTTAGTCATTCTGAGGAGTTGGTTCCAAGTTGTGATAACCCCAGTGCGTGACTCTACACTTCCTATAATTAAGGGTCATTTACAAAATATTTGTTGAACTAACCAGTTGATCCAAGTCATTCTGTAATCTGAACCTAAACATTTTTAACACAGCTAGAAATACCCAAGATCAAAAATAACCTAGCAGTAAAATGTTTTTTGGGTGCAAAATTGCATGCACTCCCTACTGTGAACAGAGTTTAGAGTGCACCTTTTATCTCTCAATCTGTATTTAACTTACTGTGCTGTAAGTAATTCTCAGTGTAATTCTATTAGTGTTATGAAATTTATATACCATGCGCATACTTTCGTACCTTGCTTAAACTATATATTAATCATTTTTGTTTATGCTTTTCTCTTCCATTATGTTTTATACTTTCAAGACATCACCCACATATGTACAGTCTGTTAAAATGGATTTCAACGAGTGTTACATTTAATATCCCATGTATAAACTATTTCATTAGTGTATTTTGATCTGCATATCACTTGGAAATTTACAGATAAAAGTTACTTTATAATTTGGTCCCCAGCATGCCTAAAAGCAACTTTCATTTTGTACTGTATGCTTATGTCTTCACTTTCATTGAGACTTTCTAACATTTCATACAGTAATGCCACATAGCCATTATGTAGCAAAACCCTTGTAACTAATGCAAATCTTTAAAAATAGACACATTTTATAATTTACTTTAAAGACTGTTTCATGAAAGAAATGTGTAGTTATATTTGATTCATATCCAGACAATAGAAATAGCAGCTTGTGTAACTTGCCAGCTAAAAGACAGGAGAAGAATACTGTTTTGGTATCATTGTTTTTCTTTTCTTCTAGATCTCATGCCAAAATCTTCTGTCCAGCACATCCAGATGCACTGCTTATTGAGGACTATAGAGCTGGAGACATGATATGTCCAGAATGTGGACTAGTCATAGGAGACAGGTGCAGTAACGCAAACAGAATATAATAGCAAGTTCATTGCAAATAGATTGGGTGAATTCGTTTAAGAAATGAAGTAATACAGCTTAATCCAGAGTGCAAACTTGAAACCTTATTAGTCTTGTATTTATATATTTGAATGTGTTTGTGTGTGCAATTTGGTGTCACAATAAGTGTAACACATGTCAGATAGCCTAGCTTTGTATTAGAAAGTTTAATGATAGTATATTAGTTTTACTTTTATTGCTTAAATCTCATAAAAAAAAAAAATGTCCTTTTGTTACCCCTTTTCAGAAAACCCATATACCAATTTTAGTTAAAGCTATGTAACTAAAAATATGCAATTAAAACTTCCATTGTTTTAAGCTTGTGATATGGATATTACTTGAGTAGGGTGATGTTAATTTATTTTACTTTTAACAAGTCTGCTTCATCATTACTCCTCCATAGAAAAGGCTTGTTAAATGATATTATGTGGTAATGTTTTTCAGTATATTGTTGAAACTAATGTGTCTAAAGCTATCTGACTGAAAAGAAAGTAGACTCTTGGAACCTCCAGACCACTTCAGTGTTTTGAAATAACGATCATGATGGTAATAAAAATGGTCACTTGAAATCTCTAGATAACAGCATGATTTTGGAAATGAAGTTGATGCTATTACTTGCCCTAGAAATCTTCAGATCATAATATAGATTTGAAATTATAATGGTGATATTGTGAAATATATTCATACAGTGAGCTTTAGAAGATTTTTAGAGACTAAACTCAGATGTACCGTTTCTCTGTAGAGTTGTGGACGTTGGTACGGAATGGAGAACTTTTAATAACGAGAAGTCCACAAATGATCCAACTCGTGTTGGAGCAGCAGAGGTAATGATATTTCTGAGAAGAATTTACTATTTAAGAGGAGTTTTCTATTAGAGAAGTTCATAATATTAAATTTTTTGAATTTCTACAGATACATGCCAGTTCAAATTAATAGTGTGACATCTTTTCTATGATTTCACATATCCATATTGTATTTCTTATAGTTGACATTAAGATTCTGCTGGTGTTGTCATTTATGTTATCAGTAATACCAGATGCAACTCATTAGTACTGCCATTTGTAATTGAGAAGGTCTAACTACAGAAAGTTCACTTTTTGGTAAAACTTTATATTTGTTCTGTTACTGTTTCTACCTTAACACCATATATGGATTATCCATTTGAGTGACCTTGAAACACCATGTAACAAGAAAATATGGAACAGAAATTATCTTTTTTTCTTCTAGAATAAGTTCACATTGTAACAGACAGTTACGCAACATTTATTTGTAGAGCCAAAGCTAACATATTTTTTCATGACATCATTTCTTCTTGCTTCTGGACATTGAATTATTTTTTTTTTTATTTGGAGTGAGAAATGTTTTTTTTTATGTTTAATTCATTGGATGAACATGCTTTTAACTGTGTGACCATTAATATCTCTTGTAAATAATAATGAATTTACCTTAACTCCAAACAATTTTGTGACTAAATAGTTTAAGATCTGAGGGAGGGGATTTTTGTATGGACCCACCAGTAATTCAAGGGTTAAACAGTGAGAAGCAATACAGCATTTTCTTCATTGTTTTTCATCAGCAGTATCATCTGACTGTTTTTATTTTGCTTGATAAAGCTTTGTAAAAATTATCAAGTAAAGTTATTGTTAAGATAAATATTTTTTGGTAGAATCTAACATTTCACATTTTTTTAATGCAAAGTTTTAGCCCAATGGGATCATTTTAATGGAGCTGAATCATCACTGGAGAACCTTATAGAAATGAAATCCTTAAAAATATTTGCTAAGTCTAATGTTAATAAATCAATAAATACATATATCTTTTATACATTAATAAGTAACTGATTAATGTCTTTATTATTGTTTACTAAATAATTTTAATTTTGATTCCAAAGTGTCATTTCATGTTACTTTGCCTTCCAATTTTTTTGGATTATAGGTTACACAGATTCATATGTTTCTGTTTCTTTATAGAACCCACTACTTAATGGTAGTGACTTATCCACAGTAGTTGGGAGAGGAACGGGAGATGCAAGTTTTGATGAGAGTGGAGCAGCAAAATATCAGAATAGGAGAACAGTAAGTTTTAAACAGAAATAATTTCATGTTGTTACAGTTGATTCAAGTATTTGTAACTTTTTTTTATTTAGTTGTAGGTAAGCCCTTTTTAAAATGTCAACTTTTTCTCCCAAAAGTTTTGTAAACTTACAGTACCTTCATTTAAATTTGGTAATCACCTCTATCTTTCTTTGTTTTCTAGATGAGCAGCTCTGATCGAGCCCTCACCAATGCATTTCGAGAAATAAGCAACATGGCTGACCGAATTAATCTCACAAAAACAATAGTGGCAAGTAATTTATTTTGCTTTTTTTGTTTTATTACTTAATAAATTACTCCATAAGAAAATTGAATTGGAAGCAGGAACTTGACTATGGGATAATGCTTGTCTTGATTTATAAAGTAATTGGGTATGTAGAATGAGTTTATGTGGTACTCCAAGATATACTGATTTCCTATTCAGAATGAATAATATTCATATATGTTTGAAAATTATTAGGGAACATAAAATGTTCACCTGACTAAACAGGTGCTAAATTAAATCCAAAGTATAAATGACTGTTCCCCTCAGTGGTAGTGATCTAATTTTAACTTCCTTTTAATGGGGACCATACACTTAGTTATCTTGAGAGACATTTTGCAATACGCAAATCTCATAAATTTTTATCTTTAGAGATTCTCACTTTCTCTGGCCTATTGCCCACTGACAGCATTCCATCTGTATTATAAAAAATAAACAAGGTTATGCAAGGAAAAACAATGGTGGGTGTGCCATATGATGTTTGGAAAATAATTATGTTTTAGATTATGAGTCCTTTGTAAATACTCTTTTTTTTTATGACCACATTCATGGTCTTCTGTCTTGTGTCGTTATTCTCATTTGAAGTGATGAACAATATTGCATACTTTTGGGGTCCCCTTTCTCATATTGTACTTGAGTGTCAATACTAAAATGGAAGTAAAAAGGGTTACCTCCACCTGTGCTCGTAATCACTTCAATTCCACATTGATAATTTAATTTTTATCTGACTTTATATAAATGTACACATCTACATTTTGATGGAACCTTATCATTAGAAATATAAACATTAAACAAAAAGGGGTAATAATGAAAGAAATCAGTTGTTGGAAGTTCTTACTGAATTGCTTATTAAACACTTAGTATTAAAGAAAAGAATGACACAGTTGGTGATCTGGTTAATAGCACATTAAGGATATACCTTGCAGTGCATCCAAAAGTAACTATTTGAGTTTAGCTTTTGTTCTGAGACATTTATTGAAATGAGTTTTTGTCAGTGTTACATACGTCAGAGCTACTGACAAAGATTACATTTTTGTATTTGAGTAAAAAGAATAAAGAAGATATGGATATTAAAAATCAAAGCTGTGATTTGCAGTAATGATATGTTTGGACAAGTTATGAATAAAAATAGCTTATTCATTTCTGTACTGGATGTTCAAGTGGTGTTAAAATTTAATATATTTTATGATAATTTTTTTCAATGAAGGATCGGGCTAACAGCTTGTTTAAACAAGTTCATGATGGGAAGACGTTAAAAGGCAGAAGCAATGATGCAATTGCATCTTCATGCTTGTATATAGCTTGCAGACAGGAAGGAGTTCCAAGAACTTTTAAAGGTATGGTATTCTTGAATATGTAGTTGGATATGCAGTGTTATTAATAAAAAAAAAACTGTCAGTATCAACACTCGAAGGAACGTTTTTTTCTGTGAGAGTTTGTAAGTTGAGTTTTGCTTTTACAGAAATTTGTGCGGTTTCCAAAGTGTCTAAAAAAGAAATTGGACGTTGTTTCAAGCTGATTCTGAAGGCCCTGGAGACGAGTGTTGATCTCATTACAACGGGAGATTTCATGGTAAGCAAGCTTTTATTTTTTCTACTTTATCATAAGAAAGAAACTACTTAATTATTTCTGTTATATTTTTTGCTGATTTTTGGAGGACCAGATAGATATTTTAGTGTTTGTAATAATTCCTTTCATACAATAATGTAATTCTTGCTAATTGTTAAAAAATTGATAAAGTTGCTCTAATTAAGAAAAGCAGTATTTAAAACTCATTTCATTTACGTAATTACAAAAATTACCTGACTCTATGTGCACGTTTTTCAGTCTCGCTTCTGCTGCAACTTGGGACTACCTAATACCGTACAGCGAGCGGCAACGTACATAGCTAAAAAAGCCGTTGAGCTGGACATAGTGCCTGGGTATGTATATTGTCAGTGTTCATTTTGCATCTAAGCAGTTGATTTGCAAGGTAAAACTAAAGTTGTTGTTCATCTGAATAGTTTTCACTCAGATTTTATTAACTTCTGGATAATCTCCATAACAAAACTGGAATATGTGGTCTTTTATTTATTGTGCATAAGTTTTGGCATCATTTGTTTTAGAACTGTCTCCAATTCTATACCTTTCAGTCGTGTAGCTCGTGGACATCAATTTTTCACCATTTAATTGGGTTAAGCCTTCTGTTTTCTCAGTACCTGATAAATTATATTTATGCTTGAAAATCTTCGTTACATGGTGGTAATATTTGTAGCTGTTATCAACGGAGAATTTGCATGTCATATGAAGATTTTCAGAGGCATCAAGACATAAGATATTAAATGATAGAACCTAAATTTACTTTTTCATATTGTAGATAAATTATGAATTGTTTTAGAAATGTAACGTTACTATTTATTGGTTTTACAAAGATATTTGACAAAAACAAATAAGTGTACAAATTATTCATTTTGTAAATAACTTTTGATAAATGTGTAATAAAATAATATGCTTGTGTATATAAACAGAAAATGGTCCGATTTCAGTCAAAGCCAGAAAGATTACCCTTCATGTATTTATGGTTGAAATTTTGTGACAGTTTGAGGAGGTATTTCTATTTTTATAGTGAGGATAAATGTGAAAACACGTAACTCCACTTACTAAGTTCTAATTTTGTGTTTTAGTTTCTTTGTAAAATAACCATCAAATTAGTTGTAATAAATAGATTTTATTCTTGTAGGAGAAATCCCATATCAGTAGCTGCAGCAGCCATTTATATGGCATCTCAAGCTTCAGAAGATAAGAAAAATCAAAAAGGTAGGATCATCTTTTCTTTAAAATAACTTTGTGTAAATTGTTGTGTTCATTTCATATTTATACCAGTTTTAGAATATTCTTATTGTGAGCCCAGCATGGCCAGGTGGTAAGGGCGCTGGACTCACAATCTGTGGGTTGTGGGTTCAGATCCCCGTCCCACCAAACGTGCTCGCCCTTTCAGCTGTGGGGGCATTATAATGGGATGGTCAATCCAACTATTCGTTGGTAAAAGAGTAGCCCAAGAGTTGGCGGTGATGACTAGCTGCCTTCCCTCTAATCTTTCACTGCTAAATTAGGGACGGCTAGCACAGATAGCCCTCGTGTAGCTTTGCGCGAAATTCAAAATAAACAAACCCTCTTATGTTACGGTTATTTTAATTTAAAAAACAAAGGTGTAGTTGTTGTATACAAACAGTTCACACTGTACAGAGTAGATCAAATTATATTTTTTTCAATATTTTTCAAATTCAGCTGATTGAGTAACAAGATTTGCTTAAATATTTGAACAGAAAGAATTTGGTGATAGTTTTATTTTTAGTTATTTTACGGAGTAGTAAACATTTCTGAGAGCTTATTTTTAGAATTTTCAATCTTTTTTTTACATTTTTTTTACAGGTTTAGCTGTCCACAATTTTACTATGAAAATATTAAATTATGCAGAGTAACATTTTTAACTCAATAATTAGGTTAAAAATAATTGTATACTATCATTAAATTATGTAGCCATTTACGGTATGTATTCTAGAAATTGGAGACATAGCAGGAGTAGCTGATGTCACCATTCGACAGTCCTATAAATTAATGTATCCAAAAGCTGCAGAACTGTTTCCAGAAGACTTCAAATTCCATACTCCAATTGATCAGCTTCCTACACTTTGAGGATCTAGAACCATCCTTTAGTGTTTTGTGAAGTTCAGAACCTATGGTGAAGTTGGGAAGAGGGTGTGAGAAAAGTCAAGTTTGGTGAAAGCACTTTCTTGTCAAGCCACACTGCAGTGTAAAAATTAAATCTATTTATGTGGAAGAGATTTCTCACCATAAATAATTGTTCTTCTGTACCAAAAAGGTATAAGCTGTTCAATTATTTGTTTACTTCAAATTAGATTCTATAACAATTCTATTAAAAGAAATGTTATCTTAAATAGAATAACCATTTGTTTCTATATAATGATTTGATAGCTCACTCATTTGGACAAAATTTGATTATTATTTCAGAAATGTTTTATAGGCAGTAGGCCTATGCATGTTTAATAAACGTGTTTAAAGTAGTAATTTTTATTGTTTTACTCTCTGTCACAAATGCAAAATGCGAACACTGTTAAGATTGAAGTGAAAAAACTTTGGATAACATTTGATCTTGATTAAAGAATTTAAGATGTGGTTTCTTTATCTCTACCAAAGTGACTTAAGTATTTTTCTCATTAGCTTTACTAATAGGCGAAGTATTTAAAACCATAATCCCAATGCTAGGCTTGACTTGTATTACAGTTCAATATCTTTGAAGCATGAATGTATATGAACATTTTGATAAATTATTTCATACAAAACATAAAAAAATTATCGTCTTCCTTCTTTGAAAAATATGATATGGCAAACAGTCGTTTCTTATGAAGTACAGTTCAAATTAATTTGCATTGTTATAACAGTTTCTGGCAAGCTGATGATTGTGTTTCTTATGAAGTACAGTTCAGACTAATTTGCTTTGTTATAACAGTTTCTTGCAAGCTGATGATTGTGTTTCTTACAATTTTGCCTTGTTATAAATTTCTGGCAAGCTGATGATTGTTTCTTGTGAAGTACAGTTCAGACTAATTTGCCTTGTTATAACAGTTTCTGGCAAGCTGATGATTGTGTTTCATACAATTTTGCCTTGTTATAACAGTTTCTGGCAAGCTGATGATTGTTTCTTGTGAAGTACAGTTCAGACTAATTTGCCTTGTTATAACAGTTTCTGGCAAGCTGACGATTGTGTTTCTTATGAAGTACAGTTCAGACTAACTTGCCTTGTTATAACAGTTTCTGGCAAGCTGATGATTGTGTTTCTTACAAATTTTCATTGTTACAACAGTTTCTGTGTGTGGGGATTTAAGGCAAATATTAAGTTCAAGGTGAAGTATCATGAACTAGTAGTACCATTTTTGAAAAACTGTGTATGGTATCATTTAACCTGATGGTTTAATTAAACTTCAGCTCAGGCTACCTTATTTTTAATTACTCAAGTAAAATAATGATATAGCTAGATGGTATACGAGTTTAGCAGGATAAACCCTTATAACACAAATATTCTGTTACAGTCTTGTTCATTAATAACAGATGGAACTAAACAGTTAAAATGTTTTCAAGACTACAGTCATATGTTTAGGAGTAACAAATTTTTTCTTTTGAAGTAAGAAAGAGTTTGTAAAATGGGAGTTAGCCTTCGGACTGTGTGACCCCTGATTCTGCCGTTTAGAATTCAGTTTAGAGGTGTAGGAATACAGAACATTATTATTAAATGCACTACAAAAAAAAAAGAAGTAAACAAGATGTGATTGACTTGTATTATTAGTATTACTAAATAGTAATTATATCTAGTTAACATTCATCACCTTTCGAAATATATTAAATATTGTTTTGATTCCACAAAGAAATATTTATATTAGATAATATTCGTCTCTGGCATTAAAATAATACAGAGAAATACATTGTTATATAAAAAATAATGTATATAAGTGCATAGTGCCCTTAATCAAAATATTAGTCAATTATAACTCTCTATCTCCTAGTTTTTAGATATTTTTTTTTTTGCTCGAGAGATAGGTATTGATATATATCATTCCAAATACTGATCTAAAATCATAGATATTATAATGTCACAATGTCTTAATTGCCTGTATTATATTACTATTGCTAAAACCTTACTATTTGGAAGATAGTTTGTTTAAGATAATTTCTTATAACAAGTATCCTTTATGAAACTTCTTTTAGTTGCTATAGCTAGGGTCATTATTTAGATACATGTGTTTTTATGAAATAAGTGTTTTCTTTGTATTCATTTAATTCTTGATTAGCTAAACATGTTACAAAACTAAAAGTATATGACTGTTGTATTTGACTGGTAACTTGTAATTTGTGTCACTTTTTGGAGAAAAAAAATATTTGTTGTATTTACAAGAATAAGTAATATAATAATTATATACACATGTGTGTGTGTGTTGTGCTTATATATAAATACACACATACACTTTATTTGAAGAATTTGTTTTTATGAAATAGGCTTACAGGGTGTTCAACTCTGTTTCCTGTAATTTGAGCTTAATGATTAATTGTTTTATTACTGGCTTACTGTTAATGTGAACTGAATTCAACCCCCTATAGGTTTGTCTCTTAAAATTAAAAAATAAACAATATTAATTATATTTTCATATATATATATATATATATATATATACATCTGAATACAGAATCAATAGCCTGTACATCAATAAATTTATTGGCAGAGGGGCAAAATGAGTTTGAACATGTTTACATCTGTAAGCTTTATTTAAAATTATTAGAAAAGTAAATGGCATGACATTTTTTTTTAAATGAGGTTTCCAATTTTTAAATTAGGAAACCTGTATTTGAGAAAATAATATAAAATGTGCCAAAAAACACATTCACCCATTTTTTTATTTTGTCAAATTTAAAAAAATTAAGTATTATTGTATACTCTAGAAAAAGTACAGTGTATACAAAAATGTTTGAATAATCTTTCATAGAGAAACCAGAAAATGATTTGAATTTTCAACCCCTGACTGAACTGTTTTATACAAGAGTACACAAAATGTTGGTCTGTACTGAGAGAGATTTGTCTATTTATACTTTGTTTTGTATGTGTAACTGTCAGGTACATGTTGTAATAAATGTACATAGCAAGAATAATGAGCTAACTGTTAAAAATGTTTTTGATTCACACAAGTTTTTGTGAATTTAATTTTTTTTTTGCTTTTGTTGTTTGGACTCGCTCATTATATGTTTAGAAATTTAATTTGCTTAGGAATTGTATGAAATAAAATTGATCATACGGTATTCTGGTATTCAAATTCGATGACGAGGAACCCACTTTGAGACTAATAATGGCTGATGATGACAAAACCTTGTCGAAACGTTGTACATTTGCTGTTATGTTAAACTTATATTAAAGTTTTTCTTCATTACCCACTCAAGCCGTCTCCAGCCATTATTATTCTGGTATTATATCCAAGGGTACAGGTCTATGCCATTCATTGTTTTATTATAAAATAAATAATTTAATAGTATATAATAATTTTCTAAAAGTTCAAGTAAATTATAAACATTTTTAATGTCCTACACAAAGCTGGTTTTTTTTATGAATTATTCACATACTTTTATTACCTATGATATTGCAATCCTACACTTGTAATATCATATAATTGTTTAATACAACTGTTACAAAGAATCCTATATGAATATGTCAGTTTGTGCTTCCGATCTTTTGGTTCAGTTAATCCATAAAATGTAAAACTAAAACTGTAGCTGGATACATTTTTTCTAAATTGTTAAGACATTTCTTGTCAACCTCACCAAATCGGCCGGGTGGTGTGGGCTAATGGATAGCATGCTGGACTGTGAAGTTGAAGGTTCCACGGTTTGTGTCCCTTTGCTGAAAAGTCTTTTTTGCTCTACACTTTAGGCCTGTGGTTTCATTATAAGAGTGACAATCAAATTCAATTATTTGACTACACTATTCCAAAAGAATAGTTGAAATTTAGGTCTAACAGTTAGTGCAGTTATATGTTGTGTAGCTTTGTGTAGATATCGAAAACAAATAATCACTAAAACATTTAAAGGTGTATACTACTGAAGACAAACAGTCCAAGTACGACAGGTAACATAACGGTTTTGGACTAGCTCCAGTTGAGCAAAAATTTTTGTAGTTTGATTAACTTTTTCATAATAATTAAATTACTCGTATAGCTCTGCATTCAATCCATTTTTATTGACAAGACTGTACAGTAAGTGAGTCTTCACAATAGTTTTGTCCCCGGGTGGGACAGCAGTAAATTGTGGACTTAACATCCAGGGTTTGATTTCCCGCAATGGACACAGCAGATAGCCCAATGAAGCTTTGCTCTAAAATAAATGCGATAGTTTTAAAAACTGATTTTAAACATTTTTGTTGGGCAGTATTGTCCAATATTCTAGAAATCAGTTTAAAATCTCAATATTGCCATTACGTTAATTTTTTTCAGTTGAATAATTTTTTGTTTTCTTTTTTTAAATAAAGTGTGTACATTTAACCTTTATTGATAAATTTTGATGTGTGGAAATTGTGATAATGACATTTTTTTATTTTTGTTTTAACATAAAATACAATCAATTATTTCCTAAATTCTGAAAACATTGCAGTAAGTGCTGAAAACCTTGTAAAATTTATGCTTAAAAAATAATGTAATACACAAATAGAATGACCAGTTGTTGATCCTCAAAACTGAAATAGTGGTACACTTAATCAGTCCAAATTTAGAATTGTAGGATGTTGCAGTTGAGATAACGGTATTTAGTTGATTAATAGCTCGTGCATAAAATATTTCCAACTATTCATTAGAACATTCAAATACTGTGTACATGTACAGCTGTGATAAATGTTAAATTTTATATACATATATATATATGTATGTGTATGTCTAATAAAGGTTTGAATTCAGGAATGGTGTGTAACTTTCATACTGTATATCTATGCTTGTGTTAAATATATTTTTGAAAAATGCCATAATCTTGTGTACAGTTCTTAAACACAGTTTTTTTACTTAACTTTTTACTAGGGATGCATATCTTATCATAGTAGTTGATACTGTACGTATCTAGATATTGATGCTGCGATAGAAGTTTAACAATGATTTATTACAAAGTTTGACAGTTTTATCTGTAATGCTAACATTGTCTTATTTAAGTACTTCACACTTTACAGTGCTTTATCAGGTTTGATCAACTAAATGACAGCTGGCAAGAGAAGTAAAATAAAAAAAGTTAATATCTGTCTATCTATTTTGTTATTGTAAGTTTGTTATGTCACTTTGCATGTAATGTTTTTGATAAAAGAAATGAAGACAACATGTAGTACTCGATACTCATCTTTCTTTATTGAATCATTAATTTTTAGCAAAAATACCTTATTAGAAATTCTGATTTTTTCTGTACAAAAGACTTGTAATGTTTACTGAAAGTTTGCCATATTTCGTGAAGATACATAAATTGTATTGTATTGGACGATGTATCGAAACAATTGTATCATGACTTCACGATACAATACTTGTATCGTATTGCTGTACCACCACATCTTTACTTTTTACACAGTAAACAATCAAGTAATCCATACATAGCATTGTTGCATAAAGCTAAATTTATGTAGAACAAAATATTTATAAACATCAGTTCTTTTTTTTTACGTGTATGAAGGACTTGAACCTCAAGGCAAGTTATTTGACTAGCTTAAAAATTTGTTGTTGTTGTTATAGTTATGTTTTATTTCAACCCATTTTAATGATTTATAGCTGTTACAGTTTGTCTACGATAACACTTATCTTTGCTCATGCAAAAATTAGGTACGAGTCTCTTTTTGTTGATTCCCCTTTTCACTACTATTTAACATACTTGTGCATAATCTTTGCATGGGCAAAGTTAAGTGTTCTCACAGATATAAATCATTAAAATGGGTTGATATAAAATGTAACTATAACAGCAAAAATTGCTGATTGGGGACAGTTAAGGCAACAAATTACTGAGGAACTCAGTTTATGTATACTCATGCATGATAACTAACAAATTTACTACAGTTTGCAAATAAACAGTTCACAAGTATTTTGTATGTATTACAAACATTTATTAAAAAAATAAGAATGATGTCACAGAAAATTCGCCAACAAGAAAAACTAACATTGTAAAAGTAATACTCTTCAACAATGAACCGAACAATTCTTGAACCTCTCCTTCTTGTGGTTGATACTTTCTTTATTCATACTTCTGCTTATAATATGACTCGCAGGTTGGTACGTTAACTGGGATCTGAGCAGTACCACCTTTTCGGTGGAGGTAGAGATACGATGCACAAAGGGCACAGGCCAACAATGTGACCACACTGGCATTAATAAGGTAATACAGTGGATAGGCTAAAGAAGTTGTTATTGCATAGACCTGAAAAATAAATTTAAATAAAATTAAAAAATAGCAAGTTGGAGACAAAAATAAATGTGTAGAAGTAATCATAAAGTATACTGACATATTGTATCTTATTTCTGAAAAATCTTGAAAAATGTTTGATTTCTACTTAATAGAAACAGTTTTTCTTTATAAGTATCAACTGTCAATATTTTGTTTTATTAAAATATAAGTTTTGTTCAAGATATAGAATAAACTTTGCAGTTAATGGCATATTTGACATTAATTATTTACTTGGGTCAAAAGTGTTAATTCCAGGTACATATGTATTACAACTTAAAATAATTATCTTGCAGTTAAATTACCCCACTCATAGTAATTGAATAAGTGTAATGGCTGTTCAAATATGTGATAATTACCTTTGCCCTGAATGAATTTTCCTATTGCAAGGCTTACACTCAACTAAGTTCCAGCAAGCATCTGATGGAATTCATATCTAATTACGAGTGTTAAAACTGTGGCTTAACTTTTCATATTAACTCCTCTAGATAATCTCAGAGTTGTTCCATATAATTAAGACATTCGTAGCTATTTAAACATGCAAGCTCTGCACAGATGAGGCCTGTGCCTGGTTTAAAGAATGGAAACCATGCTGTAACACATTGCAATCTGTCATAGTTGGTACTACACAAAACTGCCTCCTTTCAGGCTTGCATTTGGTCATTCTTAAAAATGATGTAAAGATATTTATAATTTCACAAAATATATGACCAATCTTGAAAATTCCAGTATTTGTGGTTTTTACACCAAGCTAAACAATTCTAAGTATTGTTGACAATGTTATACAGTTTGTGCACCCAAAACCTTTAAATATACCCAATTCATGAAAAACAAGCTGCACAGATGGTATTTGTTCAATAGTAGTAAAGTCACTGTGAAATTGTAACAACGATGATTTCTGGTACATTTTTCATATAATCTTATAGTATAATGCTCCAACAATCTTTTGGATGACCTGAATGTATCAAGTTTACAATAATATTCAATATTCCTATACACAGTAGATCCCATAGAACTAAGCACTGTGACTGGTTTAACCTCTCTGATTTACTTAATTTTTGACAATTTTTGACATCTTGCAAAAACTTTGACACTTTTAATCTGTTTGGTGCATTGTTAGAGTTAAAGGGAATTCACTTGCAGGGCTATGTGGGCAAACCATATTACATGTTCACGAGGATGTTTCTAGTGAGATAGCATTTGTACTTAACACACAAAAGAGGTGTATATTAGTTGTTAAGATTTTACTATAGAATATATCGAGTTTACAGTTGTTTCAATTAAAAATAAGAAAATGTAAGTTTGCAATGAAATTTAATAAATTAACTTATTAATTGCATTAAGGAAGTACAAACAGTAATACAAGGTATTGTTGTTATCAGGATTAGATGGGTTTTAATCACTTGATCTTGTGTTACTTATTCTATTTATACATATTATCTTAGTGTTTGTGATAGGATACACAAGGGAAGATGTCAGAGAAGTTCAATTAGATGTAAATATAAATCTGTTTAATCTTAACAATACAAGAAGGTGGTTATAAAGTTAGTATGGGTACTTGTAGCTGTCTTTAAGGTGAACTTTGCAACATAAAGGTGAAGTATTTTGTATACACATGTATAAAACATAAAAAGTTGCATTCCAATGGACCATGGAAATGACACTAGGGGGTTCCACATGTGATTATATACATGGTATGTAAACAGAGGATGGAATGAACAAACATTCTGTTGCTAGCAGTAAAAGGCACAATACAGCATTAATTTTGGAACCTGTCATGTCAGGGAAGCTGTAACATCAAAATAGGTACGTTACTGAGACAGCACTCCAGGACCAATAAAAGATGTGGGTCTATATACTTGCAGACGTTTACTGATGACCAGGTTCTGAGCCATCACTTCCATCATGCCATGCCACCATGCTCCCCTAGTGTGTATTATAACATATTCCCTAAGACCACCATGCTTCCCTGATCTGTACTATAACATATTCCCCAAGGCCACCATGCTCCCCTGACCTGTACTATAACATATTCCCCAAGGCCACCATGCTCCCCTGACCTGTACTATAATGTATTCCCCAAGGCCACCATGCTCCCCTGTACTATAACGTATTCCCAAGGCCACCATGCTCCCCTGACCTGTACTATAATGTATTCCCCAAGACCACCATGCTCCCTTGACCTGTACTATAACGTATTCCCCAAGGCCACCATGCTCCCCTGACCTGTATTACAACATATTCTCCAAGGCCACCATGTTCCCCTGGTTTGTTTTACAACATAATCCCCTTTGCTTTCATGCATGAGTTTTTATAATTACTAATGTAGTTTTCTCCCGTTGGCACTGTGGTTGGTTGCTAGAACTGCTTGCTGGTTCACCAGTTCTTATGAATGGTAGTAATGTTAATTGAAAACATTTATAATAATAAATAATCAGTGGTAGAAATAAATTGGATAATGTCATGTTTTTCATTTTTACCCCAAAAAATCTGATTTGTAAATGACTTAATAAAAATGATAGTAATTACAGTTCACTTGGTTTATATATGATTCACAGCATAATAATTATTCTTGAAAAATTTATGATATATATATAGACCATTACTATATCTGTTGTGTCCCAGCTGGCCTGATGAGTCTTTGTGTTGGGCTAAAAGTCTCGTCATCATTAACACGGCAGATATAGTGTGGTTGACATATATGTTATCCTTCACTGCCTTCACTCATGGGTTATTAGAACTACCCTTGTTGACTGCAGGTTATGAGGCATTTTAAAAATGTGGGTTTATTGCCATAAACTAGCAGCTATTCCTTAACTGAAAGATGCTGTTGAGATACAGGTTTGGGTGGTTACTAGAGATGTGTTTCATGATCCAGTATCCAATACCATTGTCAGAGAATATATTCCACTAGAAATGCCATTATAACATGTTTGTTGTTGTCATCATCATTTTTTAATACTGTGTCCTTCTTAAGATCCCTTATATATGTAAAACATCTTACTTGTATGTTACTACAGACTATTGCAAATGTCCATACTGACATCATAACCATCGTGTACTTCTCATTATACTGTACCACACAAATGATTGTGACACACTTTAAGAGCAACACAAATTACTATGAAATATTAGTTCTCACATACACACAAACAAAAAAAAAAGCTTACAGCAATATCCTCGGAAAGATCACAAAAGGAAACTTTATCCAGTGCTAACACTCTGAAGTGGTACAGACCAGTGCCCTAGAAGTAAAACAAAACTGTAATTATGTGACAACAAGTGATGACAATACAATAAAATCATAATACCAGTCTTCACCGAAAGTTATTCAGACTGTGATTCTGAAAGCAAGTAACAGAGATTTAACATTAAAATAATTGGAATTTTTTCATAGATGATTTATTGCTAAATATTGTTTTTCTAGTTGCATAACACAAAATTGTCTTCCAGTTTATCAAAAATTTCTCAAATGTTCTCTCTTGTTCTATAAATAATATTAAATTGTAGTTCATGACCTAAATCATTATATAACAAGTGCATGTGTATCTCCTTTTAACTGGCAAACTGCTGGACCGATTCTCACCAAACCTTGCATGTAGCATTAGGAGTCCCAATGACACCTAATAAATGCAATTGTTGAATATTATTGATTCAGGTAACAGCACTTTTAAATTAATGCATTTGGTAAAGTTCATTTTTTAGCTTTTTTTTTGGTTTATTTAGAAATGTTTATGCTATGTCAGCTCAATTGTAAAAAAAAAATATTCTTTGGATAGTACCAATTTACACATCTGCAGTAAAAGCAGCAAAAGTAGGTAACAACTATTTTAACAGGTCAAATTCAAAGCTGATAAAAAAAATATTTTTATTTGAAACATTAAGGTTTCAGATATGTTTCTGAGATGAATGATCATCACGTAAGTAAGAATTAGATCTTTGGAGATAGGAATGGTGGTATGGAAAAAGTTCTTAATTTGTTCAATCGACAGAATAGCTTATTCCTTAGAAGCCCGAGTTAAATACTTAGGCTAAAAATTGTATGTGTATGATAAAGTGACATTGAGTATGCTGACTAAAATAAAGATTTCCAGTTGATAATCATAAATTCTTTTATCAGACATCTGAAAAAAAATTAATCATGCTAGTAAATTTATTTAGTTTTTTTTCTCAAACATAAATTTTGGATTTAAAAAAATGTTCTTTGCTTTTTTTTTTTATACAGAGGAGAAAACTGGTAGTCCCAACTTAACCTATAAGCCAAGTAACGTTGTTTTATTGGTTTTGGACATGTGTGGTTAGTTATTTAACTTGTGGATGGAATGTATTTTTTTTTCTTTCTTGAGTTATTTATAAAAATGTTGATATTCAAGGTAAATATCAATCAGTACATAAAAAAAAAGGTTAAATTACATCACAACCATATGCCCTTGTTGAATAGCCTGGGAATAAGCATTATTTCCTTGGGAAATTATGGTGAAAACAGTTGCCTGTGAAATCAAAATTTGAAACAAAAACCTGGTTACATTATGGTTCTTAAAATCTTTTCTTTTTTTTCAAGGCTTCAAACTCTTAGCTTTTGTGATAATTTCAAGCATCATGCATTAGAAGTGTTAAAAATATAGTGATAATAACAAAAGTAAGTTACCTTCATGGTAATCACTAATGAAGAAGGATCTTGTAAAATCTTATGATTTGGAATTTTTTGGTTTTTTCGTAGTCGAATGAGTGAAGGAGTTGCAGTTGCTAAGAAAGTCATTGAAAAAAATCGAGCATTAGTTGATAAAGTGTATAGAAGTTAACAAATTAATTTACACTTCTGTTCTTGTAACCCACATAAAGTGTATAGAAGTTAACAAATTAATTTACAGTTCTGTTCCTGTAACCAACATAAAGTGTATAGAAGTTAACAAGTTAATTTATACTTCTGTTCTTGTAACCCAAATAAAGTGTATAGAAGTTAACAAATTAATTTATACTTCTGTTCCTGTAACCCACATAAAGTGTATAGAAGTTAACAAATTAATTTACACTTCTGTTCTTGTAACCCACATAAAGTGTATAGAAGTTAACAAATTAATTTATACTTCTGTTCTTGTAACTGTAAATTAATTTGTTAACTTCTATACACTTTATGTGGGCTTCTATACACTTTATGTGGGTTACAAGAACAGAATGGGTTACAAGAACAGAAGTATAAATTAACTTGTTAACTTCTATACACTTTATGTTGGTTACAGGAACAGAACTGTAAATTAATTTGTTAACTTCTATACACTTTATGTGGGCATAAAGTGTATAGAAGTTAACAAATTAATTTACACTTCTGTAATAACATAATTCTTTCTTTATTCATTTACCATATGTATATGAATTTAAATGTTTTTATTCAAATCACAATTTCACACTACTTATTACACTTAATTTTCTACTGGAAGATGTCAGGTTTGTCAGCAGCTTTACTTTAAATCTGTAGATACCTACCCTGTAGCTAAATACTAAAAAACATTGCTGCTACGGTGGCTTTTTGGATATTGGACATGGCAATTATCACTCAGGTCATCAAAGACAAAGAGACTGACATGGTCTTGTTGACATCCCCTGAGATCTGACACAGTGCAATCAGGGTTAACCTGTTGCCACCTGCCAGTAGTACTGGCAGCAGGTTATCAAAGAGACTGATGCAGTCTTGCAGACATCCCATGAAACAAGGTGGTCGGGGCCAACCTGCTGCCAGTATCATACACAGAGAAGTATAAGCATCAGAGGCACCGACACAACAACTTGTGTCGTGGGTCAGGTCATAAGTAATATACCCATTACCAGCAAGTTACTTCAGTTTTGGAAGAGGCATCGTACTAACAAGCTCTGGATCTACTTTGTTGAAAGATATCAGATCATAAGGAAAGAAATAGTCAAGCTAATTCTGTAAAAAAAGCACTAAGCTTTTCAAAATGATATTTTTCATTATGATTATGTTCACAGGTATATTTTAAACCTATTAAGTACTTGGTGTATTCTTCTTAGGGGGCCGGTCATACCAATCAGTTATTGAAATTTGAATTTTCATTTTTAAAATTTCTAAATTATAATATTAAAAATAACCTAAATTAAACCGCTAAAGACCAATAGTTACTTCAACAGTTCTTTAATAGTTATGGAGTACATATATAGATGCAAGTCTGCAGCATGGCTTAAACTAACCTTACAAATATTAAACCCATCAAATCTGACTGAGGGAGCTTGCCTATTCTTTTGATTGTAATGGCAAAACTTTGAAGGTGGGTCTATCATCCCATGATTTTGACTTTGTCCCCCCTCCCCTGGAAACATTTCTGTGGATTCCCATGTTTCCATCATAAGATAAAATTATGAAGAATTGTATATTAATCTCTCATAAGTAACATATAAAAAAACTCAAAACTTAACTCACATGTAACAGTAAAGTCCTCCCTGTGGTTGATCTCAATTACATATATAAAGTAAGGAGGAGAAAGAGGTACCTCCGGAAATTCTGGATGTAACAAGGTCAGGTTAGGAATTAGTATGGCAGGGTGTTTAAGCAGGTAGACCTAAGAAAGTTAAATAGCCTTATCAGTATATGCATGTTGTCATTTGTTTCTTTATAGTATCAGAAAATACAAGTTTGCCCACTTTGATTTATTTGTTTGTATTCTGTAATGTTTAAAAGATAACTAGAGTTTACACTGTATGTCATCAAATAGTGAAACTACAAATATACCTATTTTCCTTAACAATGGACTAACCCATGGCTGTACTTACAATAACTATGTGTTTGTTACAAGAAGTTATTAACCATACCCTTATAAATCCTTTTTTCCCCTAAAAAAAGGGGCTATACCACAGTATAGTAATCCACAGTGTCCACAGTTATAGTAATTCTCCTGGGTTGGCTTTTTGTTGGGAGAATTTTTTTTTTTTATCTTTCTTCATGGTATTGCATATTCTATGCTTACACTTAAATTTTCAGCAGCTGGGTGGATGAGTGAGCACACATTTGTGACTTATCTACTCTATATCTCCACTGTAGCTAACTCTTCCTCATATAAGACTACCTTTTTCACAAGTTTCTCAAGACTCAGAATTGTACCACAGTTAACAGCTGTATAAGACAGACACCATTTGGCCCAGCATGGCCAGGTGGTTAGGACGCTTGACTCACAATCTGTGGGTCGCAGGTTCGAATCCCCGTCACACCAAACATGCTCGCCCTTTCAGCTGTGGGGGCATTATAATGTGATGGTCAATCCCACTATTTGTTGGTAAAAGAATAGCCCAAGAGTTGGCGGTGGGTGGTGATGACTAGCTGGCTTCCCTCTAGTCTTACGCTGCTAAATTAGGGAAGGCTAGCACAGATAGCCCTTGAGTAGCTTTACGATAAATTTCACAAAGAAACAAACATACACCATTTTATGACTAACAACATGACTACACAGCATTGTCACAAGTAAACAGACACCACCTTTTCAGAAAAAATGACATTTTTCAGTCATATTCACATGAATTGATATATTTATAATTTAATTAATATCTAGTAGATCTTCCTTTCGCTTCGTGGAGTTCGTTGATCCTTTGGGGCATCGTAAGAATCATTCCGTCAATTTTAGATTGTGGGATTTTCGCCCAATCTTGCTTCAAAACTTGAAGTAGATCGCTCTTCGAAGTTAATTTTTTTGGTTGTTTCTTGACTTGCCAGTCGAGTATGGCCCAGAGGTTTTCGATGGGGTTCA